TTTTTTAAAAAAACTTAATCCAAATAAATTCTATGTATTATATGCAAACAGTTAAACAAATTTCAGAAACATAAATACATATAGATACACTCGATTATCCGCCCTAATCATCAATAATGGAGTCACAATAATCCGAAAGTCTGTTTTAATAAAAGCTAATTGCTTATTTGTTTTATTTAGTTTTTTAATTTCAGATTAAATTCAACATAATAGTTTATACGTTATGAATAAAATACGTTTTGAGAGCGATAATTAATTAATTAATAAGCTTTAGATATAATCAAAGTTGAATAAAATTTTCGAGGTAAACAGAAAATTCAGAAAAATTTATTGAACAAACGTCTCGCAGTTCACTATAAATTTCTTGTATTATTAACTGAGAATTACAGATTGTTACAGATTGCCGGATAGATATCGTCATAAAACATCATTAACTTTACGATATTAACGATTTATTGATAAGAAAATGATTCAAAATATTTTCTTCAAACAATTTTACAGTGTAATGAAAAAAATAAAAAACAACATACACGGAATGTATTGTTCAAGAATCAACTGAACTTACTGTACTTGTCACGCCATTTAATTTGTCTTGACTTTTTGGTCGTAGTTCCGAAGCTCAATATACCATTTTAAATGGCTAGAGTTACATCCCAATTTTTTTTTATTTTAATGTTAATATTTATACTGCTGACGTAAATTTTTATCGAAACGTAAGCAGACAGGGATAACCGAGAGCATACTGTACTAAAGTATGCTCTCGGTTGTACTTCTAGTAATTCTGCAAAATATCTACAAATAATCTGTACTATGTATGATATTCTGCACACTATTTTTAATGGGGTATATTATTGTAACATTGGTGCTAACCTATAAATACAGTAATAATATTTTAAATCATTTGCTAATGGTAAATGCTTTCAAGTGTTATAATTGATGTCAATTATCAGGAAATGATATTAAATGAAAACAAATGACTATTCATCTGCCACCATTTTCTTTTTGCAAGAGAACCATTAATTGATAATAATTATTTGAATTTTTAAATGGTTTTAAAATATTTTTCAGTTTTAAAGTCTGAACATGGAATCAGTTGTCATCAAGTGATCTCGCTTGATTGTGAAACTTGACACAAATTGATATTACTTGATATAGTAACTGATATTAATCGATGCCATTTCTTGTCATTTAGTCATTTGAAACTAACGAGAAACCACTTCAAAAATGATATGAATTGATATCATTGATGATGATGATGAAATGATATTTTTACTAGGATAAAGCTGATGTCATTTTAATTCTATGTTCCATAGTTAACACGTATAATTGCCAAGTTTGGACTAGAGAAAACTTCTATGCACATCTGGGAAACTGTTTACATTCCCTAAAAGTAACAGTTTGATTCGGATTTTCCTCATTTTTCATTATTGGACCGATTTGGTTCGAGGAGCTCGGCCCACAGGCCCCATTACATTTTCCATTACTGAACAGCGATACGCATCGTTATTGACAAATACAAATTCCAGCATTTCAACAACGTTAGGTTAACGTCACGAATCAGCAGTGTTCATGCAAAATGGCGCCCCCAACACATATAGAAAATTGTGTTAAACAAGTGATTAGAAATCCTTTTTTCGACGAACGCATTATCAGCCGCAATTTTTAACTGTTTAGCCTGTACGATCACAGAATCCGATGAATCTATGCTAAACATTTCAAGGAAAACATTACAGTCACTAATCGAACATGCTATTCCGAAATATCAGATGATAGCAGAAAACGGTGGTCAACATATTGAACATGTTTTGAAGTAACTGCCACTGTATTGCATTGTAATGCTGAAATAAAATTATAAATTATCCTCCAATGGTGATTTATGAAACTAATTTTTTTTTTTTATAGTGAATTCCCTTCCCATGTCCTGGATAAGACGTTACGGAATTTTTATTCACTTCCGTTAATTAAGCAACTTCCGTTAATTAAGCAATTTTTGCTGCAGACGGCTCGAAATACGTGAACTTTAATTGTAGACACCATGTATTTCAGTAATCGTAACTATCATCAACTAGCATTGCTAACAGTAATTTAGTAATATTGATGTTTATAATTATCAATATTTGACGCTGGAATTTGTTGTGATTTAACAATGACCTATTCAAGTCTGTACTTTTACGTGGTTCCAAAAATATCTGTAGGCTACTTTGACTCTTTCTTAGCCATCAGTGCTATCCAGTGAACAAAAACTCAAGTTTTCATTTTAGAGATCGCAATATATTATCTTAAAAATAATTTTTTTTAATTCACTGTCTTTCACTGTCTTTCTGATAAAAGATTAAACTGTTTCGCCAGATGTCAAAATTTGATTAGAGTCGAAAAGTATAAAGTTCGTTTTCTGTGAGTTTTTCTTATCTATAAATTTTTATTAGTACAGTTAGAGAATTATTATTTGCAAATAATAATATTTCTCTGTTTATAGAATCATTAACATCTGTCACACATGCTGTAATTAGGTTTATCCTAATTTGACAGACTCACCTGCTGTCATTCTTGGAAAAAGGGCCACCTCGAAATATTGTTTTCAAGTTAGAAAATATTCATATTATGTAAATTTTGATAATCTTTACTTCCGAAAATAAAAAGTCTATTAAACATGATTACTTTATTAACAGTTTTATGTTTTTCCCCCTCTCTCTCTTTTCGTCCTTTGGTCACTAAGAGGGAATTTTTCCACATTCAACATGGTTTCGGCCAGGCCCACAATGGGGATGGTGAGCAGGGTCGTGAGAGCTTATACGGAGCCCAGGCGTTGACCGGGCACCGTTTGTTCTTGTTTTTGAAAAAATGAAATGCGCTATATTAAATGTTTTTTTTTATTAATAAAAAGCAGTCTTACATATTTTATTCCCTGTTAGTAAATATAACACTAATTTAGAGTTCAAAATAGTCGGTAACATCCGTATTCATGCAGAGAAGTTTCAAATGCGACATTTATCGAGACAATTTTAAAAATTTATATAACTACTTTGAAATATTTTTAAGTTTAATATTTTGATTATTTAATGATTAATATTTTTAATGCATGGTATAGAAAAACTGGCAAGAAACTGGACTAGATTTCAATATTTCCTTCTGTTATAGAAGAGAATATAATAATTAGGTAAGAGAAAATAATAATAGACTAATAATAAACTAGAATTTAAAAAATGTAATTAATTTTCTATTATAGGAATTTACAGAATAATTTCTCTTTTATAATAACTAATAAGCCTATTTCATAAAATATTTTGCAAAAAAAAAAAAATGCCTAGAAGAAAGGAAAAATAAAAATAAAAATAAAAACTCGAAAGGATGGATTTGAATTTTTTCATTGACTTAAATGTCAATTATTTCAAGTTTTAGGCATTAGGAAAAATATTTCATATAAAATATGGTAGGAAATAATGAAAAATATATCATAACTTTAAATATATTATAATACACCAATAAGATTATAAATTTATTATACATTTTAGAATAATAATAATATTTTGTTAAAAGGTAATAAAATAAATAAATAAAATTTTATATTTGATGGGCGTTTTAACTTTTATTTTAAATACTTAAATTAGTTTATGATTATGAATTTCATATTAATAAGAATAAGCATAGAGCTAGACTCAAAAAGAAAATTACAAAAAAATTATTTTAATTTAATTTATATTAATAAAAATATTTAACAATAAAAAAGAATACTATTTAGAGTTTAAAATATTTATATCAACACTGGGCACAAGGGATTTAACCCCCTCCATTTGGAAAGAATTTAAAAAATTAAATTTATTTATTTTGTATCATTTCATTTACTCCTTAGTCTACTGTATTGTGTTATCCTATATAAAAATTAAACTACATCATGAAAAAGTAATGTGTTTTTTAAAACCTCACTCTTCTAAAAATCCTGTGCACGTGTCTGATTTAGATCATGTACTTATCGTAAGATTGTGATTATTTTGTTATTTTTATGCTATTTATCGAGATATTTGCTAAAAATTTTATTTTTAAACATTGAGTAAACAAAAATTTATCTTAATTAAGTGTTGTGTAGTTACCTGGCTGCATTTGTTCGAAATTATCACACACACACACACGCATCAATATAAATATGTCAGTATCTATAATGGCTTATTAAAAAATATATACAGATTTATATAAGTTTTTACTTTGCATTACTTTGTAAATTGGTAATTTCTATGCCGTCCGTTAATTACGTATACAGCTTAAATGGCAGATGGAGAGTGAGGGAGGTCGAAGCATTTTCTACATAGACGTTTTTTAGTGTCATTCGTATTTTTTCTTATAAGTCTACTTTCTAGTCGTGTGAATAAACTATCAGTTTAAAGTCATTCAATATTAGGAGGGTTCTATTAACTATTGTATACGTAATTAAAGGAGTAGGGATTTGCCAAAAGTACATCATTGTACATAAGAAGGAAGGAAGGAGCCAAAAATGGCTGGAAAACTGTACACGTAATTAATGGACGGTCCCTACGAAATGATAAACTATTTTAAAATTACGGAATCTTTGTAAACGCCCCAAGCTGCAACTTATAGGAATTAACCTGTAGGAATCATACTATATTACATGGAAATTGAGAATAAATAAATTTATAAGGTAAATCGTAACGATTAAGTATTATCGGCACAATTAAAACCTATGCTGTATTGATTTTATGCTTGATTTCTTATTTAGGCCAAGTAAATTAACGAAGGAAAAGTTGAGCACGCTATTTTAATTCGTGTTATATTCATGATTCATCAATGAAAAATGCGATTCTTACATAATTATCATTTTAATTTAACAAATTACATCAACTATAGAATATTATCTGCGATTTTTAGTTATTTTAAACAGACAGCAACGACGTTTAGAAAAATTGTCACTGATGTACGTGACGTCACTGTAGCCGAGAAAACGATTGGTCAGAATATGGTTTGTTTACATCGCAATTTTTCCGCACCAGAGGTCACCACGTCAATGCTGATCGCTTTAAATGAAATTGTGTTTAGAGTTTGGTTGAGTGTATGTTAAAATAAATTTTTGTTCAAGAAAAACACTGGAATGGCAGCCGGCGAAAGCACATATATATTGGAGAAAAAAACTGTTGTATCACCAACTTCTCCACCTCAGGTAATTTGAATTTTCATGTGTCATATTGCTTTGTTATCGTTTTATACAAGTTACTTTTAGGTAATTTGTACATAGAGTATGTACTGTTCATGCAGCTTACCCAAAAGAAACTTATACTTGTATTTTGATAGTTACAAATTTTATGTCAGATGAAGCTATTCTCCATGCTGAAAATTTTAAAATTATTATATAAAAGTTTCATTTACAGTTTTATATGCAGTGTTGATTTGTGGTTCTAAGTTATACATATAACAGGCCTTCCCCTCTGCCAAACAATGATGTGTGTGAATACGTGAAGTCCTGGACTATAGACTGATAATGCAAGGCCCTAAACTGCAGCTTATTTATCTTGCGTGCAAAATCTGCCCCCAATTATTTTCCAGAAAGAAGACTAATTGTAGAAAGGAGTCAGTTCAATAGTGAAATCCCTACAAAAGATTTAATGTAATTCGTGCGAAACTGAATACAGTTTGTTTATGTTTAAATAGAGTGGCTGTATTGTTTATTGCACAAATTGGGACAGTTTTTAAGAGAGTNCGTCAGGAGTGACACTACTGTCCCTTAGTCGCGTGCTGATATAATACTTCGAGTATTTAGGTAGCCGAGGAGGTCGGTTTCTTGCTTGTTGGAGAGAGGTCGACGTCGAGGATACCCGGCGAATAGGTAGTTCGGAGGTTAGAACTTCAAGTATCTTGAACGTTCAGAAGATCGGTGCGGATCACTTGATAGGTAGGTAGGATATAAGTTCAGGTTGAGCCGAAGCGGTCGATCTAGGCGGTAATCGGCAGGATAGGAAATGTATCCGGGAGCGAAAGGATGAGCGACGAACTACGTTACTGTCATCGATTTTTCGCTTTTATTCCGGAGTCCTTCTTTTTTTTTTTTATCATGCCCAATAATGTTTTACGTTCAATAGACAAATTTTGGTCGTTTGGTTCCTGGTGACACATTCGGAAGATGTGTCACCTTTGAAAGGAAGTGAATCCGGAGAAAGATATAATCACATCCTTCAATCTTTATGAAGCATTGGAAAAGGTATATAAAATTTAGGCGTTATTCTTTTGAAAAAAAGTAATAAATAAATTTGTTGTTGAATAAAATTTCCCATCCAGTCCTGGTCTCTTACAAATATATTTAATTCCATCCCGAAATATCCTATTTCTTATCAAAAGCGTTGCTTACTCCTAACCTTTAATTAATCATTTGCGGCAATTATAAGGAAAAACAAACAAAAAATATTGTTATAAGATTACACTTTTTAACACCACCTTTCTAAAATTTTTAAATTAATTTACTAGGCCCACCAGTGACTGAGTGGTCTTCATACCCTGAACACAGGGAGTTCAGTCATGGATTTGCACCTCGGTCGGACGGGCTGGCCACGTGGAGTTTTCCGGGTTTTCTCCACCTCTGTAATGCCTGAATAGGGGCCAGTTTCCCTTAGATCTCCCAGAAGGCATCCCCCTAGGCAGATCGCCCAAGTGTTGCGTTGCCACAAACAAACAAATCTAGTTAATTTACTATTACAAACATTTGATATAATATAGCAAATGTTGTAACGGTACATTAATTTAAAAATTTTAAAAAGTGTTCTAATTCAGACTTGTAAATTTCAATGTATATTCAAAATTTTATACTTCTGATAAACAATTAAGAATTAAAGATAAAACTAAATTTATAAATGTTTTCAATTGATGTACATTATTTCAAATATTTTTCATTAAATTAGCTCTGTTCTGTTTTCAATCTTACCTTTTGTTAATTAAAAATCATTGAAGATGAACAAAGAGAGATAATTGCAATTCCGTCAAATTTATGTAGAAAAATAAATGAACATAGTAATGTACTGTACATGATGCAAAAGTAGGTGGCTACAGTAGAAAAATGCAGGAATGTACTTATCTTACAAATTTTGAAAAAATGCCTTAAAATTGTTTAGTCTATTTATTATGTTAAATAGTTTAATTTGAATTGATCAAATTATACAGTTTGTAATACTGGCTATTAAATCTTATATGCACAAATATACTATATTCGAATTTCAGTTATACTATTAATATATTTTATGTAATAAACTAAATCCAAACAAAAACATCTGAGATGTAAAAATAAATTGCACTAAGTAAAAAAATTGACAATTTAGATGACAGCCAAATTTTTTCTTATGATGTAAAGATAAGTTTGGTACAATAATCTAAATCAACCTCAGCAGAACAATTCTAAATAAAACCCTCTAAACACCTTTTTGGCTGATGGGACTAATACACTCCTTTACTTACATTAGCACAGAACACTGAAAAACTTGAAATATACAAAAGCAGGTTGAAAGATAGGCACATTAATGTAAGAGATGCAGACAGCTTAGCAACAGCATGGAAATACATTGTACAAAATAAGTTTGTTAGAAGATCCTAATTACCTCATTTTCTACTATATATTTTTGTATATTTTGATTTATTTTATATTTTACTGTTATTTATTATTTATATTAATTTTTAGTTATTTTTGTTTTATATTCAAATATTTAAACATTGTAATTATATTATTCTATTTATGTATTCTATTTTGGAATGATATTTAACAGTAAAGATGTTCCAAGAAAAAGTAGCCCGAGGATGGCCTATTAGACTAGGTTGAAAAAGTTTGCTAAATAAAAGTGAATCCCAGCAGCTAAAAAGGTGTTTAGAGATTTATTTTTATAAGTTTAGTGCTTCAAAGCAAAATATATTAATAAATATCAAACTCAGCTTCTTTTAAAAACACTAAATAAAACATTTAACACCTTCTATCGCTGAGAATATAGCGATAGAAGATGTTAAATGTTTTATTTAGTGTTTTAAAAAAATATTAATACAGGTAGAAATCTTGTGGGTACTGCTTCAAAACACCTTGCTTATCTTTACCAAAGAAAAACTCCTAAGAAGAAAAGATTTGACTCATCCAAATTGTCATAATCTTTTACTTGGTGCAATGTTTTTACAACTTACAAGGGGACCTTAGTCTCAGAAATTCAGTTCAGGGTGAGACTTTGCAGGTTAGTAGTATACCTCAAGAGTGTCCACCCAGAAGAATTGCAAAGCGCACTACCAGAAGATTCTGAGAAAAAGGGCTCTAAAGTTTTAAGTGCAGCTCATATACTGGTCGATTTTACACTATGGCAGCACATTGAAATGGCTCAGTCTGTAGTGAATTTGCTTGCCATGCAGGTGATCTAGGTTCCATCCTACCTTTGGCTAACTTTTTTTTTAATTGTTTTAAAAATTATAACAACTTTTAAATAAAGTTAATGACCTAAAAATATTATCAATTAAGCCATAAATTTTATTTTATTTATTTTGTTTTACATTATATGCATTTATATTTCTCTATTTAATTCTGTAAGAATACATTCAAGTGTTTTACATTAAATTAATAGACATAAATATTGAATATTTGAAAATTTAAAATTGTTTTGAATTAAGTCTGAATGACACAGATGACATCATGAACACTTATTAATGTTCCAAAGTTTTAATTTAATGTTATATTNTAAATAAAAGTGAATCCCAGCAGCTAAAAAGGTGTTTAGAGATTTATTTTTATAAGTTTAGTGCTTCAAAGCAAAATATATTAATAAATATCAAACTCAGCTTCTTTTAAAAACACTAAATAAAACATTTAACACCTTCTATCGCTGAGAATATAGCGATAGAAGATGTTAAATGTTTTATTTAGTGTTTTAAAAAAATATTAATACAGGTAGAAATCTTGTGGGTACTGCTTCAAAACACCTTGCTTATCTTTACCAAAGAAAAACTCCTAAGAAGAAAAGATTTGACTCATCCAAATTGTCATAATCTTTTACTTGGTGCAATGTTTTTACAACTTACAAGGGGACCTTAGTCTCAGAAATTCAGTTCAGGGTGAGACTTTGCAGGTTAGTAGTATACCTCAAGAGTGTCCACCCAGAAGAATTGCAAAGCGCACTACCAGAAGATTCTGAGAAAAAGGGCTCTAAAGTTTTAAGTGCAGCTCATATACTGGTCGATTTTACACTATGGCAGCACATTGAAATGGCTCAGTCTGTAGTGAATTTGCTTGCCATGCAGGTGATCTAGGTTCCATCCTACCTTTGGCTAACTTTTTTTTTAATTGTTTTAAAAATTATAACAACTTTTAAATAAAGTTAATGACCTAAAAATATTATCAATTAAGCCATAAATAACTTTATTTTATCTATGAAATGACTGTTACAGCTAATAAATATGTGAATTAATGATATAAAGATAATATTTTATTTTTAAAAAGTTGAATAATTTCAAATGAATTTTTAATGGAGGTAAATTGACACTTTAATTACTATTGTCATTGAAAAGTTATTACAAATTTTACAATATTATAATTGTGGAGAGGTTAAAAATATTTGTTGTAAATTTGAGGAACTGGTTTTTACATGGAAGAGTAGAGTATAGCTGTTCATTATTATTTATGATTTAATTGATAATAATTTTAGGTCATTAACTTTATTTAAAAGTTGATATAATTTTTAAAACAATTAAAAAAAAAATTATCTAAAGGTAGGATGGAACCTAGATCGTCTGCATGGCAAGCGCGTTCGCTACAGACTAAGCCATTTTGCTGTGCTGCCGTAGTGTAAAATCGACCAGTATATGAGCTGCGCTTAAAACTTTAGAGCCCCTTTTCTCGGAATCTTCTGGCTAGTTTGCCTTACAATTCTTCTGTGTGGACACCCTTGAGGTATACTATTAACCTGCAAAGTCTCATCCAGAACTGAATTTCTGAGCCTGTAAGGTCCCCTTGTTAGATGTTTTTATTTGGATATCAATTGTTTTGGTTAATTATTATTATTTCATCAAAATCCATGACAATGACATACAGTAGTACCTCAGGATACGAACGCCCAGCATATGAAATTTTCAAGATACGACATGAAATTCAAACATATTTTTGCTCCATGATATGAACAAAAACTCACCATACAACGTTACATTAGTTTGTAG